TGCTTTTATAGAGCAACAGAGGAAATGAGAAGGACTGTGTTGTTGCAAGCACAGCAAACTAAGGAACCGTACCATAAAATGGGATGCAAGCACGATTATCAGCAAGGAAAACAAATGGCGAAAATAAAAATCTTGTAAACAATAATGGTGGAAAGGACATAAAGTAAGATCAATACGGAGAAAAAACATACAAGATCAATTCCGAATGACTTCCTTCGCTACCTGATCACATTGCTAATATAAATATACGATTTGAACACGCTTCTCCTATTACAAACACATCACCGTCATCTTGCAACATTGACCGAATACGAAAAATCGATAAAGAATTGTCATGACTCCAGAACAAAAACAGAACTCGTCACTCAAAAAAGGAGAAGATAAGCACACACACCACATTCGATCGTACGCATCACAAGATCTTGAGATGCAAGACTGTTGCGGATCTTGGTCTTGATTTAATAGAGGCTGCGCATTCACTGAATTAGAAGTGCATTACCGAATCATGTAAATTAAAAATCTGTTCTGTCCATACATATATCATATAAGTATATATTTTATCTACATAGCTATCAATAAATAACCTACTAATTGCAAACCTTAATCTAAAACCAGTGTTGAGATCCCGTTGGAAAGTTTCACTGAAGAACACTTACTATATAAACTTTTTCCGCATTTACTTACAAATTTGAGTGGAAATCACGGAATGCCTGTTGCTCAGATATAATTAAATTAAGTCTAATGCCGATTGTCTACTAATTACCATGTAACATATTCCCGCAAAGGAATCCATATCATTGACTCCTATGATAGATCATATGAGGAATACTGCCTAAGGGAACAACACTGAAAATGAGCAGGAAGTATCTAGAAAAGAAAATGCAAGATACATTTGACAGATGTTTAAGGAATAATAACATACAACCCTCAAACATTCCTGGACTACAAGAAAAAGAGGCGACGCAACGCCGTGAGAAGTCCTATTGCTGAAGAGTAGGACTAAATCAGTTAAGTACTATCATATAGTTTAGTAATTATTACTATAGTACCATTTATATCAAAATACTAACATTTTTTACGATTATTCACATTCTGTGGTCCGCACCAACATTTCTGATTCTATGCTCTATACATCACACTCCTATAAAGACCGAAAGTTGTGCATATCGGTGTCCGATATATTTTTCTCCCTTCACTAGAGGTTGGCAAAGCAAACAGTCACGAAATAAAACTTATACATACCTGATCACCGAACAGTCCCGCGTTGGGTGTGGAGGTATATCATTGACGACGTACTGCACGATATCACAACAGTCGTTGATCTGATTGAGCACCTTCCACCTGATCACCTCAGAGTCCCAGCAGCTCCTAAAGTACAAATATTTTAATTAATTTACTTTACAATTACTCTGACAAAACAGATAACTCTGTACCTCTCGAAAATGATAGACGACAATACCTCCAACGGAGGAGCCTCGATATCCGTCCAACATCGCCACATTTTCAGGCCGAACAAATCAGCCAACTTCTTCGAAGAAACCGCAACACCGTTCATCATTCTCTCCGTTGCCCAACCGTGCCACTTTGAGCGATGCTCCTTAAAGAAAATCACGCAACTGGAACGACACTTGATGGTACAACATCGCTTAACTTCCTGTTGAAGTCCAAGAGTACGTAGCTGAACAATAAATACTGAATGGAGCACTTTTGGAAATGAAAATATTCTCATCAGAGAGACTGCGCCTTGTGCCTGAAACGGACTCAGCTCTTTTCTCTCAGCCTGCGCTCGAGGGCTAACCTATGAATGCGAAGCGTCAACTCTGAGTATGAAAGCCATTCGTGAACTGTTGACTGTGCAACGCAACACGAAAATGTAAATGTATGGAAGAACAGGAAAAAGGACGAAAACGATCGAATGAGTAAATGCAGAAACAGGCGTCTGTCATGTCGCTGATCGAGCGAAGGAGTTGAATCAGCAACAGGATGAATACGCCGCAATAACTACTGACCGTTACTGAACCAAAAACGCCTAGCACTGGATTCCCATAAAGAGAAAACAGCCCGTAGAAAGACCTCCAGATCGATGGCGGGATGAACTGAAAACGTTCATTGGATTAAAATAGATGCTTATTAAAAACAGAGCTCTATGGCAAAGTCTTGGACAGTTTTCGTCCAGCAGTGAATGGAAAATAGATGATGATGACATGTAACCGAATATTAGACTGTCACGACGCAGATTCAAACTAAATAATTGGAATAATATCATTGACATGTTACGACATATAACAAGAACTTCAAAGGGAAGCAGAGCGATCGGCATACCGCCAGATACAAAATGAAGTGGCATTTTACCTGGCCTCTGAATAAACCTATCCTTTCTGTGTATATTACTATTTGAGGCTCAGAAGCCTGCACCACAGACATTGAAAACAGCCAGTCAGTCAGTCAGTAGTCTAGTACAACGATACCTCTCTATCCAGCCGTATTTTTAGACGGAAAAGGTGGTACTGAATGGCGGTAAACCTTAGTGCTCGCTGTAATGGCGCTGAACCTTGCTTTTAACATCTGAAACAAATAGACTCCATGGCTGAACTTCACGTGTTAAGGATGGCCGTCGTTCGTCAGCAACGAGTTATCAAGTCACCTGGTTGCATGGATAATAGAAAGTCATGCCATCAACGATTAATAAGTACGACAGCTCGAAAGAGAATAAGAAATTGGAAAATAGTTAACATCAAGCTGATATCCAATCTATAGAAATGATAATGGCTTGATAAATAAACAATAGTTAATTATGTCTGATTATAAATTCTTCAGTGAAAAGCTAGAAAGTTCATTAAGTACAAAATATGGCATGAATGTTTATGTGAAAGTTTTAACACAATGATTCAAAGAATAGAATTCCGGAGGCAAGATTCATAAATTCTTCTAACTGTGTAAAATATTACTCAATAACGCAGGCAACACTATCACTCACAGGAAAAGATTCATCTATCAAGAAGATGGATGACTGCGGATGGCGCTATCAAGCTTCTTGCTATAAAAACGAAAGCTACCTCTGCAAAATGAGGATCAAATGTAAAGCACGAGACAAAGGAGGGATGGCGCCTCCTCTGTCAGAGTATGTAAGCCTCGTCAGAGAAGAAACCCTGACTCAACCGACGCGTCAAGGCGTTAATTATCCATTCGTTCAAACATATCAGTTGCATGGTTATGATCTCAGCGCACATTGGATCAGTCTCGCAGGTTGGACCACGAACTTGCTTTGTGGCTCCATGCGATCATTTGCTGAAAACAACTGCATCGTCGCCTACAAACTCGAGCTA